GAACACTTCTGTTCAAAAACGAAACTGTATTGAATTGTTTTAGTTACGACAGAGCCGCCAATATCTAAGATCCTAGGTTTTCCAAATTAATTTAGTAATACCTTGTTGATGTAGCAAGACCTGATCAATAAAGTAATATGCATTGCTACTGGCAATCCTGCCACGTGGTGGCTACACCATAGGTGTACAGCCGCGCGACCCGCCTTTTCTCATAAGGGCACGTGTAACCTCGTTACATGGGTGCACCCTGGGTCCTTGCCCCTGGGAAGAGGCAAAGTTTACTTGTGCAGTACGTTTTTCCACTAGCAGGTGAGACCCAACCTAGCTCCAAGCCCACGAGGTGTTTAATAATAGCGTCATGCTGGTCGTGGGATGATTGAGACTGCTGATAGCATGAACGTAAGTCGATTAGCTTCCACTGCCACGTCCATATCATAATCTACAAATCGCAAGGTCCAGCATCAAACGACACTCGAGTCGGACGTCTGTTTTGCTGTAAATTTGATAAACGACGTGTAAAGCATTACTTTATCAGTCACAAAAACAGTTTAATAATTCTAAATTTTCTCACTCCTGGCTAGTTTTTATAAAGGCATTCGGATCATAGTCAACGAGCCATTCTCTGTGCGTTTGTTAAAACGAATTTATTTTCCTCTGTGCAAGGCGCGAAAACCCTGTTGCATGACAGCCGGACAGTTTCGCTAGTATTTTCGAAACCGGAGCTTGATTTTAGATGTAGGCAATTCGCACGGATAGAATATCGCTCTGAGGGGGATGGAAGGGAAAAACAATTTAGCGCGGACAGAAGTATGGACGTGGGCCTCACCGCATAGTCTAGCACAAAGAGTTTGCCACCTTCATGCTGGTACTAGTGTCGCCGTCTATATCGGCTCTAATGGGGGGTTTTCACAGTGCAAGGTAACATTTTAAGTCCGAGATTGTCAGAATTAATCTGGCTTTGCTCTTTGTATTTGTAGCCATTTCAAATTTCAATTCTTATCGAGTTATCCATATCCACACTTATTGATAAATCTCTTTCAATATCCAATCTTATGATTTTTGATCTTAAAGTTGTCAATCCGAAATCGAAATCCCAAATTTGCGATCATGTCCGACTCAGTGAATACTGAGCGGGCCAATCGTTCGCTGCTTGAAATGGTGAATGAAGCTCAACATCGTCTGCAACACATGGAGATCTCGTGCCAACAGATTCTTCCTTCTACAGGCTATACCAGTCCTCAAAGTGTACATGACCCCTTGTCAAATGATCCTAAAGTCTTGCAGGTGCAGGTTGCTCAACTTCGGACGCAGTTGCTGACTGCGGTGACACTTCGCGAAAAGGAAGACGTGAATTTTCGACAAGCGGCACAATATGCAGCAGCAAAAGGCACAGCAAACGGAGTATTACATGCGCTGTTCGACCAAGCAAGTGCCGGCAAGACGGAGGTGCTTAAGATGTACCTGGATACGGGATCAATCCCCACCCGCGACGGTTTAAGACATTGGAGATTAGATCTCTGTTCCATACGGAACGAGACTGGAGCTTCGCTTCTCCACGTGGCCGTGGGAGTTTCTACAGCGAAACAAAGCGTCAAAATAAAACTCGTGAACATGCTTTTGGACAGAGTAGGCTTTGACCCGACTGTAAGGGACGTGGTAGGCAACACTTAAATCCTCATCTTGTCAAGTGTAGTGCTTTCGATGTGTTTACTGGTTGGTGCTATTGATAATAGTATGGGCAGACTCCGCTTCATGTTGCAGCGATGAGTGGATATTCAGAGGTGGGCAGACATCATTGTGAAAATGCTCGTCGCTGGTGCTAACTGACATTTGAGTACATAGGTGGTCGATACATTACTTGAACGAGGTGCTGACCCATTGGCTCAAGACAGATCTGGTCTGACGGCACTGTCATTAGTTCGAACTCTATCGAGACCTCCAGAGGAAGTCGTACAAAAACTTTTGAAAGCAGAAAAAGTGACAATTCAAAGTGCGAGAATTTCACTTCGTGATCAGTGTGTGGTTTTCTATTCTGATATCCTGTGTATTTGACCTTGTTGATCCTACCATTTATAGACATGATGCAAGAGTCAATCTCAATACCGCTTTCAGTATGCATGCATGGATTCCTGGAGCGAATCAATCGTCTGATAAACAATTTTGACTGGATTTTGATACATGACAGAAAGCGCTTATGTCAGCAGTATTTCTTCAAGGACTATCTCGATTCGCTCTGAAGCAACACTCTAACGCTTTCGCGCATCAGACGACAACATTAGTTCATGCATTGCTTGAAGGTAAGTAAAAAAAGATCATGATAGTCGCCTATAAAATGTCAAACTTTCCTTTACCAATAGAGTGCTGTGTACTTTGCCAGAATCGCATGATGGCAGCATTGAGTTTGATCGTGTGATTCAAAAGCGAGTTCCTATGCTCTTTGATGTCGTTCCTGCCACTCAAGTTGTTCGCTTGAAGTCAATTTTTCTAAGAACAATGTTCAAGGATCCAAATTTTATTGATGAACTTAAGATCGAAGCGAATGGATACGGTTTATCACTGGTAACGCCTGCATCGGCCGTCGGATCGCTCACTGGTCCGACTTGGACTTCAGTCTTGTTGAAGCTTATCCAAGGTGTTCAGCTAGAAATGGCGGGATGGACTCAAAATGACATCCATTTCGATGATGTACCAGCTCATGTTGACAGAAACGTCATCATGAAAGATAGCATTGACAATGTTACGTCGCCACCATCTCGCAAATGGTCGACGTCCTCTTCCTTTACGTCCACCGACACAGATTCGTGTTCAGCCTTGCGCTATGCTGATCAAACATCATTCGTCGCTCAAACACGTGCTGTCTGGTATTACGCGGTGTTGTTCAAGGCCTCAACAAGTGCTTTTCCAGGGACCTTAACGGTGACACCAGGAAGCACTATTGCCGTGGCATCAGAAGATGTATCGAAGTATTTTCCTCTGGATGACCGACTTACGATCGGCTCAGCAGAATACTTTGCGGTAAGTTATGACTCAAAGTCCCGTGCTATCAGGCTAGGTAGGTCTCCACTTGAGCCGTGTGATGAAGTATATCAAGTTGTGAACAGTATAATGTTTGCAGATCGTGGGTACGATGGAAGAGCACCTGCCACTTTGACGGCATATCTGAGCGGATCAAGCCCTTCTGGACCCCCTCCGAATATTGCGGTGAAACGAATATGGGAGCGAGAACCAGGGAATAAATACGAGGATCAAATGAGCAGCGAGCAGGTATGTTTCGGTGACATACGATCGTGCACTTTGGATCTATGCTCAGCTTACTGTCGAGAGCAGGAGCTGTTTCAAGATTACCAATTTTTAGATCCCGAAAGCGAGTATGAAGTGGCAATTAAGCTCGGCCCGATCCCGAGCGGACAAGATGCAAGAGGCATCGTTGCTGAGTGGAAGCGGACAGCAAAAGAGTTGTTTGACTCGCGGAAGTAAGCCATCATAACGTTTAGCATACTCATACTACAGCTGACCAGCTTGGTTGTGTCTGTGCAGATGCATATCTGAAATGCCATGTTGCCAATACTATTGTTCACAACGTAGTGGTCATTCGTTGGTACGTGTGTAACTCATGTATCATATCAGCTTGCTATTTCTTATTTATTTGTGAATATGTCAGTGTCTAGGAACTCTTGCTGCAATAGGACAGGGTCTAGCTAAACGTCGTCTTGGTCGTATAACATTTTCAAAGCCTTCAAAGCCTCGTGCCTCGCTTCAACGGCTTCAAGATCGTTTCAAGGGGACAGAAGCTTGGCCTGGTTCACCGTCAAAGTCTGCAACGACAAATCCACCGTAAAAATATCGTGGTGACAATTGCAAGTAGGCGATTACTTTGACTGAAATATGCAGCAGCATTAATTTATGTACAAGCTTTTCTTTGTGTTCCAGAATGTGTTTCTCGTAGCCTAAACAGCACTTTTCATCCACAAATCCGTGTCCATTAAACAAACTGCAATAAGAGTTATACCGTGACAGTACGCGCTTTCATTGATGTACAGATTAGCAAATTTCTTTCATTGCCAGAGATGAGTTTTGCTTCTTAAGAAACCGTTGGTCGAATACCACGAATCCGTAATGACAGCTGAATGTCTTTCACTTGTAACGTCATGCGCTTACCGTGGATAGCACACAAATTCCTGTAGGTCATTCAGATGGAAACAACCAGATTAGCCATTTATTGTACTAAAAATTCATCTGTCAAATTAACGTACGCGTCTTCGAAGGTGCGTACAAGGTACGTCTCGGTAGCTTCTTGCAGCGCCAGCAACGCTTCAGCTTGCCAGCGGTAATCTATGCCAGTGAACTCCGTTTGAATTTCTCGCACTACGCGAGCAAAGGGAAGTTTTCGCAGCAGTAATCGAGTGGAGCGCTGCAGCAGTCGAATCTCCCGAAGCACCGCTTCGCCTTGGCTCCTTTTTCGCTTTATCGACTGTGTGGTACCTGCAGGACTGCTAGGTCGTCGACGTGGTGGCACGGCCTTGCGCTTTCGCCTAGGAGCTGTGGGCGTTGCATGTATAGCAGCTTGGCGGCCTACAGGAACCACTGACGGCCGACGAGCAGGCAAATTTGGCGGTGGCGACGGCGCCGACCGTGAGGATGCAGCCGACGCTGTGGTAGTAAGGGCCGCACTGGTGGAAGCAGGTGCTTTAGGAGATCCAGGTGGTGTCGATTCATCGGTACCGCTGTCTGTGATGCTACTACTGGACGCATCACTTCCGGGTGACGCCGATGACATGGTTATATAAAATTTACTTAAATGTAGAAGTTGTGTAATGAATAAAAATGGTTTCTCATATTCAAATTGTATTCTCACTTATCCCCATTTTTTCCACTCCATTCCGTCTGGGGCTGTTCGTTCTTTCTCATAATCCTTTTCGGCTACTTCTTTCCAGTTTGTTGATAATACAGTGCCTCCCGATGTTTGCTAAGTAACGTTCATAGCAACATACATCAAAGTCTGACAAAACGAGATTAGAAAAACAAAGCAAGCACGTACGAAAGATTTGTTCATGGCCTTGCGAGTATTTTCATCGGCCTTTGCATAGATATCGCGGAAAAGCTTTTGCATTGCCTCTTCACCCTCTGGCTTTTCCGCCTCCAACTCGTCACCGATGGTTTTTTCGATTCTGTTCCAATCGCGATTGCTAGCGTATGGACGCGGCACTTGTTCTGGTTTGGCCTCGAAAACGGCAGCAGGTCCTGTTAGTACTTGTGTACTTGATTTGTACGTAACCTCTTCAAGCTTGTCCCAATGCATGCCGATGCTTTTCTTTTTAAGTTTTAATTCCAACTTCGAGCTCAAAACCTGATACGAACTTTCATCCGGGACAATTTCATCGAAAAGAGCTTCGTTGTAAGCCTCGACAATGTCATTGTCAAGTTTGATCCGGACTAAAAGCCTCGTTGGCTCGATTGTAATTTCGACATCATCTTGAGGTAAATTTTTCTGAAGAATTGCGAGTGTCACATGGGTACTTGACTGGTACCAATCATGGCTAGCAATGTCATTATACTACGTCAATTGCTACGCCTGATCATTCTCACGAATAATTCGTACCGGATCACTGACTTGGCGGGTAACGGCGCAATTGCAGCAGCCCCACAGTCACTTCCTGCTGAGCGTTGCACTGACACAGGATCATCCGATATGATCAGATCGGCCTCATTTTCACCTGCAATAGACGATGCAGCTAGATTTAAAAACTTGGATCCACAGCACATCACCTGACATTGTACTCACTGTCAAGCTCGGCATCACACTTGCGAATCCACGTTTGAAAGCGCTTTATTAGAGCTTCGTTAACCTGAGGCGTCGCCTCTTTGCCGTTCTGAAACGATTGTTTGGCCTCTGCATACTTTTCAAGCTCAAACTGAGCCATGCTGCAGTCCTCGTTAGTTTGAATCATTCGTCATCGCTGCATTCCACTCACCCGTGACGCAAATGCGCCATATACAGGGTTGGATCCAATTTAGTTGCTTGCGAAGCGTCGCCTTCGGCTTCGTGCAACTTGCGCAGCTTCAAATACACAGCAGCGCGCTTAGAAAGAACCTCTGCATTCTCTTGCTGATGTTTTAGTGCACGTGTATAGCTCTGCAATGCCTCATCGTATGCTTCATCCACGAACAGCGAATTGCCTTCATGTAAGAACTCCATTTCACAAAGCTTTTGGTCGTTTAAAAAGTCTGGTAATTTACTATCAGAACTAAAAAATGAGCTAATTCTGGTATGGTATTGAGCTACATTTGCTTGATTTTGGAAACTGCATACACCGTTTTATCGTATTGACATAATAACTTATTACTACAAAAAGTTTATCAATCGCTTGAAATGCAGTATTCCTTTTGAGAGGTTAGACAACGCTTCACGACCGATTTCTTGGGTAAGTATTCAAAAATTTAGTTAAAAATACAATAATGTAAATAATGTCTAAAACAGCGTGTTACGATATCCCACTCCTCTTCACACACGAACTCTTCTGCTTAGTTAATTGCATTTTGCAATCTGGGTACGCTTTGGAAAGCTAAATTTCACCTTAAACTGCAATTCAATTCGTTACCGCTTCAGAGGCCTCCAATTTATTGGTTCAGTTGCGCTATTTGGATAGTGAGATGATGACTCGTTTAAATAATGAATACACTAAGAGAAAGTCAACGTGCTGCAATGAATGAATATCTGACCGGAGACGTTTGTCATCCGACGGCTTGATGAGCAAGGGAAGGTTCACTTTCATGTGGAGTAGATTGTGGGTTGATTCTTTCTTCGGTGCTGTAACAGGTTTTTGGAGGGCAAGAAGAAATTTTACTACGAAGGAATCTCATTTGAGTGCCCACTTCGCAATTTTACCCTCGCGCCGTTTTGACTGATGACCTGGCACCCATTCGACCGATACCTCATAATAAGACGAGTCAGCATTGCGCAGTGCGTTGCGCTTCACACTATCAATCGGAACCCGGCTTATTTCAAGCTTGTTGCTTGGATGCTAGCGACACCAGCAGGCTCATGGTGGTAAGCAGGACAGTTTATAACAGAACTTGAAATGGTGAGCGCTCTCTTGACGCCTCCGCCGTGCTTTAAACTTCACGTTCAACAAATTTTTTTGGATGCCAACTTCGCTAAAGCTGGCTTTTAGCGCCAAAAATCGGTAAAGGGTGCGCTCCTTTTCTACAGAGTGCGCAAATTGAGCAATGTACTCTACGACCTTTTTGCTACTATATAGCTCCAGATGTTCGGATATAATGAAGGGCTAACTTTTTCGGCCGCTGCTGCTTTAGGTGCAAACATTTTTTAGCTTAGGGTCATAAAGCTCTTTTAGGGTGACGTTGGAGCGACCGATTCGCTCCTGGAACGATCGATTGGTTCACCTTCTTACATGGTGAAAGCTTCGCTACGGCGCGGCGGGTTGATTTCATTTGATCGAGTTCATAAGCACGATGCGATTTAGTCTGCGAAATGGTTGTGATGTATGCAATTGCGTTGACGCGAACTCGGCTCGCTGATACAGGACAGCTCTTTGTGAAAAAGCTGGTGAAATTCTCGATGGAGTCGTCACACGTCTTGCCGTAAGAAATGAACATGGAGTGCTCGATAGGTTTGATGTAGCGTAATAAACACCATATTTTCGGGAAGGAACGACTTACGCTTTGCGCAGCATGGCTGCCGTAATCTTTCGCTTAGACGAAGCTTAGTTAAGGTCGGTGACCTTCGTTCAATACTTAGAACTAGCACGAGTGTAGCGGATCGCAATCCACTTACTGCAAAAGTCATTACCACCTTAACCCGGGACTAATTAACTCTCGCGTCTAAGACGTAACTAAATTCTCGGTTTATTTGCGGCACAGCCGCCTATATCTAAATCTGTAGGTTTTCCATTTAGATGGTGAAACATTATTAAATGTTTAAGTACTGGCAGTCTAGCCACGTACTGAAGTATTGTTTAAGTCTGACAACACCATCTTGTGTGACCCACACCCTTCAAAATATGGCACGTTAGACCCCCCGTTACACAATGGCTCATGGTCAAGGCATCGATGCCGCGAGGAGTAACTGCATCAAAGAGATTCTTGTCTGTCTCACTGTCTTATCGTGTATAAATAGTTGGTCTTCGGTTGAAGGATTGCTCTTGATTACAGTGGCTTGTTGACCCATGCGAGCACTAGTAGGTAAAATGAGAGAAAATCCACTTGCTTTCGGATGCAGTAGATGCCTATTAAGCATTCATATTTTTGCAATGCGTGAAAAGCCGAATGATTGTGATCCCAATCGGAAAACATCTGATGGAGAAAAGGAAAGAGTAAGTTTTGTAGCATGACGTATGTGATCATTGAAAATTGACACTGCTCTCGAACAGATCGAGAACGAGGCACAAAATAAGCTGCAGAAAGTATGCAAATAAGTGTAAAGAAGAACTCCTTATAACATTTGTGCTTTTAGCTTCACAATATGTGATACATAGAGTTTAATCGTAATTGTAAAGCAAATTAAATCAATATCACTCCAGGCAAGACGTCATTCCAAACAGGTATCACTTTTGTTTTTAAAGCAAAATTTTACCTTGTCTTTTGAGAGGTTCGCTCTTTTGTGAAGCGTGTCACTCCATCCCTTGTGCGTTAGCTAACACGATCACTAAGAGTCAAAGTCTTCACTATGTAATATTCACGTCAATCCTATTGCAATGGTGCGCCAAAACAAAAGGGCCCGCTAATACCTCGCTCGAAGGGATATATCATGAAGGTTCAACATGTTTATGAGATACTTTTTCCAGCTATTACGTAGATTTTCAAATGTACCACTATAAAATTTGAGCAGCGTTGAGTATGCAGCAGTAATCTGAGGGCTAACAACTTTAGCTACAATGGCTGCTGCTATCTGAGGATATTCGGTTGGTTGCACAGAACACGCCTTCGTATCGCAGAAGTCACACTCAGAACTTGAAAAATCGTTTTAGTGCGCCCAGCAATTTTTTTTTAACAAAATTCAAGTCTAACTCTAGATGAAAATCGCAGGGATCGTTTTGTCGTTTTTTTAGAGTAGAACGACGATATATGGGCGCGCTCAATGCTGAACACAAGTGCCTATTACGACGTATTAACTTATATGCAATTGGGCATACTAAGGTTGTTTTCCTTGTTTAGGCGAGATAATGAGTATATATCATCGAGCCGCCTCATCAAAACTGACCAATTCTATATGATGTCAGTAACAGGCTGAGACCTACTTTTGGTGGAACAAATAGTACCAGAGGAGATGCTGATTGGGTTACCTTGATGGATAGGTTCGTCAACGGGGATCCCGTAGGGCACCAAATTCCAAGGGTATAGCGACATTCCAAACAAAATTCACAAATTCACACGGTGAGGGCTATTTAGATTTACTTGAAGTATGCTATCGTCGAAGAGGTGAGGCGAAGGGCGACTTATATTTTTAGAATAAAACGTGATGGCTAAAATCATCGTTCCTTCGTTTGTATGTATGTGTGACGTCATAGACGCTTTTTAACGATTTTAAAACTATAAAGCTTCCTCTGGCGACAGCTTTAAGCTAAAAAAAGCTGGTCTGGCTAGTGGCAAGTGGCAAATTGTACATGCTTCTGATACGTCTAATGTAGTCACCATTCTGGTGCAAGCGTGTATTCCTAGAATGACGTAATACTATAGCATGGCAGGTTGCACCTCGTTCAGTCCTCGTGATCCAATCGATGGGCGTTGCCAAGCATTCATGGGAAAATTGACATTTTTATCACTCACTGAGTGAGTACTATAGACTGCAGTATCCGGAAATAGCTGGTAATGTTCACGCACTGTCGTAGGTAAGTTCATTCGGATGATATGCTCTGAGAGTGACTGGCAATTCCATAGGAACTGTCAAGCTCATCAGCTCCATTAAATCGTCAGGTTAGGCAGCTAATCATCCAAATAATATCCAAACATGATAATTTCTATAATTGGTTCTGCACAAACCTGGTAAGAAGAATTTACCATAGTCGTGCAGAGCAACTGAGTCAAATGTGGCTAAATAGATGAAGCACTGTTGGGGTGTATGCGCTATAATGAGCGGTTTGTCAAATGAGATAGAGTATGTTTACGGCGCTGACACGATCCTATTCCCGGTTGCTTTATGAAAAAAGGATTTGTTGCTGGTAAATCCCGAAGATATTATGCACATTGAATTGCCTCTGGACGTGTTTGGCCAGGGCAACTGATTCCGCGAATACAGCTCAATATATGCCGAAACAGCGCGACTCCTCATCAATTGCCTGAATAATGTCAAAGGGTTCTGGGTATGACAGAAGAAATATCATCAGATGTGAAAGAGAGTCTGATATACGCTTTGATTTTGGCACTTTTGAATTCGGGTTGGCCACTTTATGCCATTTAATTTGGCTTTTACTATAGACTTTGGTTCCCTCGAAGTAGATACCAAACGTTTTTCAATGCGTGGTCGCATTTAAGTCTCGCCGGTTCTAAACGACAAAGAGACTAAATATTTTTCACGACAAATAATTACTTGTTGTGTATTCTAATTATGTCAAGTTCAAAATGTACCGAACTGGCTCTAAGCCGTTTGAGATCTCTACATATCATGGGTCGCTGTGCACAACGATATCATCACCGCATCTCTCGTAGAATACGGCAAAATAGTTTTCAAGAATACGTGTGACGTGAGGTAAGCCGAGTCATCTTGATGAAGTGGTGAATGCACTTTCGCGTCGCCCGACTATGATTTGTCGTACGTCATGATAGTGTCATCTCCAATTGATGAGGAGATGCATACTGTGTATTCAACAGACGCAACATATGTCGCGTTGTTGAAAGCTTTGGAAAGCAAGTAGTTTGTAAATCCAGATGTCGCTTTGGCAAAGCGTTCGGCCCATGATTATACACGCCGAGCCGTATCATAAGGACTACCGCTTACCAACTAATACATGTTGAGCCACAATTATATATTGCTCACAAATGATGTCGTTCTCTGCCGAGATAGCCAAGTTATGTGCCTCGATCGGTATTCTGTACTATACTTGGGGTCCTGTACATGATGCACAACCGCACGTTGAATAGTGCGCATGTGAAACCTGTCAGCATAGAAAAACTCACGATTCATGCGTCAGTGCCTTCAAAAAGTCTGCCATTTTCTGGAGTCACTTAGTACTAATATCCGTTTTGGGCTTTCAAAAGACGTGCACAGCATTTTAGCCATATGGAGCGTCCATGATAGATAGCTCATCGCGCTGCTGCCAGCGATACCATATTTGGCGAATATTCAATCAAGCTGCTCTGCAACAAATTAGTTCGCCAACATAGTCATGGTGTTGGTTCAAATGTCTGTGCTGTACAGCAAAATTTTGGCAAACTTTGTCGAATGTGCTGGGTACCGAATCGGACAACCCAAGCGCTGTATCCGCAGACAGTTCGCCAGACAAAACTCGTCGGTCGTGCAATATAGAGAGAATATATTCTAATGCGCTTGCACTAAAGTACGACAGTGCCACAGCAAGTTGCTGTTGCTCACCCATACTGCGATGTCACTACTGGCTTTTACGAAACCTTTGGCTTACCCCGCGTTAATTTTACATCAATCAAAGTGTCTATGTCCTTGTGGACGCTGTTAGTAGGATTCAGCTCGATGATATCAATTTGGCGACACTTCGTACCACAATCGCAGATTCAATCTCAATGCGATCGAGTATTTTGCGCCGAGTGCCCAATACTTTGGCCGAGAGACAGGATGTGCAAGAGCAATAGGCCGATAGTATCCGTACATGAAACCACTTTGTCACACTGTTCACAATACCGACCTATGCGGCACCAGCAGTCTGTAAGACCGCCGTCCAAGCTTCATCGGTCCGGCTATGGTCGCAACAAAAAGGAAGACACACTTCTGTAAACCCTACATGAATGCAAACACATTTTGCGTTTTACGTGGTCTTTTGGTTTTAAGCCATGTCATGATTTCGCATATTCGTGTGAGTCCGTGTGAAGCACTCTGTTTGGAGCATGGCGGTGCCTATATAATTCGGCTACGTGACCATCTGCACTAGAGCAGCAACACGGCTCTAAGCATTTGCAAGTGCCCCAGTCCACAAAGTGCAATGGCGTAGCTAAAAGCGCGCATCCGAAATCTGATTCGTGTCAGTTTCGGCGACAAGTGAAGACTCTTTGTTAGGTCGACGTCCCGCCGTAACTGAAAACGCTCATGAGAATTAGCGGTGAGAAGTTGTCCTCCTGCTCGATAAATGGGGGGTGGCAACTCTCATGTAAAGCGATTAGTTGGTGAACGGGCTCACCAAGACAACAAACAATTTCTGGTGAAACATGAGAGAGATACTTACCTCAAAACCCTTTGTGAACTAGATGATCTACTTTGTCTGGTTTGGCCGGGTGCCACTTATAATTTGGCGCGTCATGCGGTATTTTCTTCCCAGGATGTAGGACAGGGCTGCCCGGCGCAATGATCTAATCACTAGCAAGAGAAGCCCAAACTTATTGCACACAGTAGCTGTACCATCAGGATGACAAAGCTGAAGAGTTGTTTCTGGCGGGAATTTATGCGGCAAGTTACCACTCTGACAACCAGGTCGTGCATTGTATTTCGCGAGCTCAACATTAAACAATGTCCCAGTATGATGTCTACCTTGCAAAACCTGGCTGTATAGCTATAGAACTGGTAATGCGACGTGTCATCTTAACTCAGTGCGCGGTGTCAGTACGATGACTCTGCATAGCTATGTAAAGGCTCTGTTGTGGTGCTGCGGACAATTTCTGATGGTATTAATCCATAAACACTGCATGAGATGTCGGAGCGAAGCACCGTGAGCACTTCACCTTTCCGACCTCTCGTGGATCGATCCAACAGCGAATTTGGGTCGTTCGCGAGGACTTTGTGCTTAAATATCGTTTCGATGTGGAACTTGAACGCTGAGAGTGCGTACTATCTACGAGATTAGTTTCTTGGACGCTCGAGGCCGAGTTTTTTCGCAAAACTTATCGCTTCTTTCGCGCTTTCAGACGGGCCAACTTGGCTCCTTTAGCCAGATGCAACTTATCATTTTCGAGTCAGACGTCGTAATGAGATCAACGATGGCTGTCGTATCACATTCTACAATAGAAATGGTCACGATGTGCAGAGGTATAAAGCGTTTCAACTTCTGAGAAATTCTCAATGACGGAAAATGGTTATGCTGTTTGCATCTCAGTGAGGGTGAGGTTGTCAGGTAGGGACTCAAAAAAATAATGCGAGTAGTCTCATCGGAGAATACCTGATTGCAACAACAAGAATTGCCTGATGGTCGTCAAACACGGCGGTCGCGTCTTCTTAATTGCTCGGTAAGCCATGTGGACACGAACGGAGAGACTGTCAATACATTTTACGCTCATAAGAGCTGGTAATATTAGATGCAGTGGTAAAAGTAAAATTTCAGGCTCACTAGATGCTTAGTAGGTGCTCACTGTTGCACAATATTTCTCAAAGGCAAACGAAGGGTGAAAATACATATTGACGGGGAGAGGGCGTTACGGGGTACGTTCCGTATGGTGGTGCTCGTAAACCATACACTATTGACACTATCGCTCCTTTTAAGCGCAGAAGGGTAGTATTGTGCTGTATTCTGGTGTGATAAGGGGGTGGTTTTCTAGAAAAAAGAGGTCTGTCAAATATGTTAGCAGCTTGTCTCACGCTATGCAGTACATCGTGGTTGATTGACAAACAGAAAAATGCAGAACCTATTTGAATTACATTAGCTTTGAATAAGAAAGTTACGACTCTTCAAGTCAAAGCATTTTACAATGCTCGTTGCACAAATAACAAAACGAACCTCGTGTTTGTGACTAGGGTAGCCACCATAACAGAAGGTTTACAAGAGCTGTTTTAGTGACATTGACAGGCTAATTTTAAGGCTTATAAAAGCATAAATCGATCTTCAATACGATAACAAAAAGAATCATCTTTCTTCCCACAAATTCAGAAGGTTCAGTTAGATGGACGAGTTACTAAGAGTTACCATGTTAACGAATCGTTGCACCTTTTCCCATAGAGGCGCAATACCAAGTGATCGCCAATTTGCGACCCTTTGCAGGTAAGTTGGACGATGACCCTTTTAAGGTAAGTTGGACGATGATGTGATTCCATTTTTACAGCATAAGTTGTTAATAAGTAGCAAGAAAAGCCTCACGCCAGCAGGGTACTATCCCCTTCTACCACTATCTAATATTTAGGTAGGATACCACACAAAATCATACAGTTACCTTCACGAGAGGCGTTACAGCATTACTGCTAGTAAACCTGCTGGGCTGAAACACATAAGCAAAAAGACTGTCATGAAATAGTAAAATCTAATTCTAATTCAACACATTACTAGCAGTCGCGCTGAAAAAATCGTGTACGGTAAATTCGCTTAAAATGTCTGCTTTTCGTCAACAAGACTGTTTATACGGCTTCAATCTTTTGCTGGGCAGATATAAGGGTGGAATTAAAAACGACAAGACACACGTAGAGGACCGGAGACGCGCTTTGAACCATAAATAGATACGTTAGATAAAGTAGATTGGTGGCAACATGCCCTTCATCGTCATCCTCGAAGTTCTATTTACTGGATAGAAAGGTTATGTTACTTCCAACTGATCAGACCTCGCAGCTGTCGCCAGCGTAAAATATTTACCATCCAGTCAGTATCAGTCCGGAGTCAGTTTTCTGGAAAAACTCGGCGCCGATCGTCTGTTCTATATCCCAGTCCCGCCTTTAAGTCGAGTTTCGACAAGTCTGCCTCTTAGTCTTCACTTTATTTGTTCCGATGGGTTCGACTGATCCGCTTGTGACGCTGGACGCCGTCGTAGCTGACCCACATCTCCATGCGCTGTTCCTGCAGCATCTCTCGACGTCAGACCCAAAAGGATTTGCTCGTTTGCTTTTCCTTGTTAGTGTCGACGAGTTTAAAAAAGTATTAACGACCGACAAACACATTACGGAGCCCGAAGTGGACGCACAAGCACATCGACGTCAATACGCCAGTAAAATTATCACCAAGTTTATGAGCCCCGATGCATTTCTTGATATTGCGTCTGAAAACTTGCACATTCTAAACAAATCTGTCTGGAACTTTGGTAAACTATTGCGCAACGACTTGATGCTCTATTCTGGTTTAGCTGCTAAGAAAGACTTGTTTCAAGACGCTGAAGTAGCTGTTAAAAGAGCGCTTCAGCCTAGTTTCTGTCAATTTGCGGCTACAGCTGAGTTCAAAGCGATTGTGGCTAATTCTAGGCTCACATTTGCTGACGATGACACTACAGGTGAAGATCAGCAGATAGACGAACGCTCCTTTCCTTCAGTACGTGACAGCTCGCCAGCATCCATTTCGAACGTCCGTGCACGGCGCTCATCATTTTTGACTTTAGAGCGAGTATTAGGCAACAGAAGATTGTGCAGTGTCTTTTGGGTCTTTTTATTCAAGGAACGAACTCATCAACAATTAAGTCTCTGGATGGAGTTTCGCTATCAATTAATTCCACTTCTTGAGGATTTTATTCGAGCCGTCCAGGGCACTGAAGTTGAAGAAGAGGTACAGGAGAAGGAAAGACAGGCTGGTGAATTGATAGAGCAATTACTTGCAATTGGAAATCGTATTGCAGCTAAATTTTTAACGGTGTCTGCAAGCACACGCGTCACTTTTGTCGGTGCGGCTGAGCAGGCACTTTTACGTGACTATGAACTTTGTGTAGCCTGTTGTTTGGATGCTGGAAGTTTCTCATTAACGGACGCTGAAGTGCTTTACCGAACGGTACAGCGCATTCAGAATGAGATTGAAGCTGATTTAAAGGTCAATCATTTTGTACGTTTCATGGGCAGTGAATCCTTTAGATCTTTGGTTGCATCATACCAGAGTCGATTGCTTAGTCCATCTGGCTCTTCGATTGCAGAGATGACGTCCGCATGCGATGGATCGAGTACTGCTTCCGACAGCAGTATGACGACGTTGCAAGAGCTATTTCAGTGTATGAATGTGGCGTCGCATCAACCTCAACGGGTACGGACTACAACATTTACGCTGCGAGATCTGTATCAAGGTCAATTACGTGGAGAACCGCAAAGCAAATCACTGATTAGCTCAGTCATAAGTTTTCGACTGGATATGAATGACCGCAGTCACTCCGAAATGGTAAAAGAAGTATTGCACACTTTGGCAGACCCAAACGAACATAGCGAGACCAGTAGTGATCTATATCATCATCACGCCATTCCAGACCATGTCGAAGCATTCTTTTGTCCTTCTGGAGCAGATGTTGTACGCTCAACTACGTGTCCAGAGCCGTTGCTTTTCTACATGACTATTGGCAATGCCGACAAAGCCTTTTATGGTGCCTGTCTTACGCGATATGTCCCATTAAATGACCCGAGCAAGTTAAATCCATTGGAGCAAGTGTTACAGGAGACAGAAGGACTCGAAGTTTTTGTTCCAGCTGGACTTTGTATCATCAGCCGGTATCCAATTCTTGACACATTAAAACAGCGGCTAAATGTGCTTCATACAACTATGCAAGATGACGTGGTGTACCGCTCAGACGTCAATTGGCTGCCCTCGGCTGCACAAATGGCAAATCTGCTTTCTCCATTCGATTTTGCGTGTGCTACACCGTTGCAAGACAGTGTGAAGGCTTTTTCGACGCTGGATCACCATGTTGACTTTAGTATGGAGGAGCTTTTTTGCTGTTTGTCTGTCGAGCATGTAGTTGATTTGGTCACATGTATGCTATTGGAACGTCAAATTGTGCTTGTTAGCTCACGATACTCTGTGCTCACATCTGTTGGCGAGACGTTGAAGAGCTTGATCACGCCTTTAGAATGGAGTCATGTGTTTGCTCCAATTCTGCCCAAAAGCATGCTCGAGTGTTTGCAGTGTCCGACGCCATATTTATTTGGCATACACTCTAGTTATCATACAGAGTTACGTGAAATGCTTGCACGCGAAGGTTGTGCTGAGAGTATTGTCATAGTGGATTTAGACGCAGATACAGTTAACCTTCCAGGGCGACCTCAACTTCCTCGGTCCATTTCTGGACCTTTGACGTCGCGACTGTTACAATTACTCAAACCTAAAGTTTACTTTAGTGATGATGTCCCTGTGCCTAGCACCAATGTTGAAGCTTGTGGATTTCCGCAAGGTCTTGTGAGGCTGTGCTTTCGAGAGGCAATTACATCTCTTTTACGAGAGATCGAAGGGTTTCGTTTTGTACTGTCCGATGATTTTGATTATGTGGTGGTTTTCGATCGACTCGCATTTCTTCGCCGTTTGCCTCCGCGTGAACAGTCTTTTTTTCGCAGTTTCTTCGAGACACAAGTCTTCTCACAGGAAATTGCGTCAGTGACAAATTGATATTTAAGCGGCTTTTGTGAAGATGTGGTGGAGATAAAGCTTTAAGCTGGATCATTTGCAGTCAAAATTAGAAGGAGGACTGGATATGTATAATGTTAAAAATCTTAATTTGTCTCTTAGGATCATAGCCGTAACTTAAGTTTTCCAAATCGTACTATCGACAACTCCAAATCTATATCATAAAACTTCTTGCCTATCATAGTTTTTCTCTAATTGTAGCCTGCAAGTCAGATTTAACAAAAGCTATTGTGGTACATCGTACATAGCTTCGGAGTCGAGTGTGACTTCTCAATTGCCTCGTCGCTTGAGAAGTCACACCATGTATGCTTAGCAGTTCTGCTAACGTAAAGTTGCTCACAATAGAAAATTATTCACTACTCTGCGATTTTTTAAGATGATAATGCGTCGTGTGCAGACCATAGGCCTACAAAGAACGATTTGCATTCAGCTAAGCTTCTCACAAATAATAAATGTGGCAATATGTTCATGTGGCGTATATTTTTAATGCTAATGGAGATTTTGAGTGCTACAATTATTTCATTATGAGCGACCAGTGAGCAATGCTAGCGCAGTTGCCTTTACGGGAGAAGGCGATATAATTGTCTGGCACAAACGTGCTGCATCTTTACTCAATATCGGCGCTTTGATTGGAACTGGATTTTTCAGATACTTGACACGGATGTTTAGGTCACATCCGTACACAAAGATGCCTTTTGAGCCGACTCTGCAAAGCACGAATGAGGCGTCCTCCAGCATGACTTCGAGCATATCGCCGCTTGAGCACGTTAGCTTCGTATCGTCAGCATTTGCATCAGAGATGACAGTTGCTTTGTTTAAAGCCGGAATGAAATAATCAAGCAACGCAAGTGAGGGTGATGATGAACATTCTGCAGTCTCTGTCCCGTTGGCGGCTGATGTGACGATGTAGGCGATCCCGTCCACCATCATGATTGTATGCATCACGTCACCTTCCTGAAAAGAAGCGTAGCCATCATATCGCACGGTTGAATTATCACCATACACAACGGGATTCGCAAAGACATCAAATTCGAGGTGTCCGTACATCTCCATGGTAGATCGCTTCATCATCAAATGAAAATGGAGTGGTCTTGCATCAGACAAAGTAGTTGCTTTTGTTGCAAATACTCCAATCGAAAAAGTTACGAATAACGTGAGGGTGAGATAGCGACAAGTAAGAAGCTTCATAGCGCTGAAATGTGGGCCTTGCTGTGCGAAAGTCGAAGTGGATATCACTTGTTAATGCTTGAATTGTGAGGATAGATCTAATCTAGCCAGTAAGCTCTGGGCACAGCTGTGGAATCAGCATTCCATTAATTTGAGCGATTGATCTGAGATAAAGTACTATTTTCTTCAGTGAATTGATGAGTGCCCACCTACTAGCTTAGAACCAAAAGACATGGTGACGCTATAGCATCAATATGCATTCATACTTCCGTCTGATTAATGCTTTTGCTTAAGAGATGGACACTTTAAATGTATTTATTGCCTTGATCGCCTCGACATATTGTCGCACCAGATACCGGCTACATTTATCGAGCTGTTTTGATGGATATAAACTTTACTTCAACTCAAAGTTTATTGAAGATGATGGATGACAGAATTTACAGTTAATTCACCAGCAATCTATGGTGTATTGCGTTTGACGGGCAAAATTGCAGGTTCGGCCCATAACCTCTGTCACACTCGCTATCCCAGCTCGCTGCACTTCCAAGTTTGGCTCGTGTTATTATCTATCATGAAAATGTGTGGTAACTGTAGCGTTACACTTATATTTAAATGAACTGGTGTGCTTGAACAAGCCACACCTCAATTCGTGAGATTCACTGTAACTACTTTTTGCTGCTAGTGCAGCGCTTTGCTCAGAATAATGTATGTCAAAACGTCGTACAACGAACGCTTAACTTGTGTAACGGATGCGGGAAACGGGATACATTCAGCAAGCTTCAATGCCGATCTATCTGAGTGCAGGAGAGCAGACTCTTTTAATTATGCTCTTCATTTTCGTATGAATTTGGCAGCCATAAAATATTATTTGCCTCTCGTATTTTTGAACTCAAGTTCTCCTGAATATAATGTTGCAATCGTCGTGTATAATTTGGCGCCAACGTGTAAATCGGGGAAAGAGTGTGTTTTGTAGAAAATTCTGGTCAGGATTTGTTTAAATAGGTCGAAATGTCCACTTATCATCCTAAAAAAATATACATTTACTCAGAAGCACACCATGCTTATGAGAGCTTGCCATGCACGTCCATGAACATGTATGTTCATACATGTGCTGAAAATTCATGAAAGTAAATCCTAACATACACTTGTCCAAAAAAAAATACGGATGATAGAAAGGAATTTCAAAGTTGATATGGCGCTATGTGATAAGCTTTCCTACAGAAATTTGTTCAGAGGAATTCTGTGCACTGTGTTCGACCCTGGACATCAGATACAAACTAATGTTTGTCTGTTTAACCATGCATGCAAACCGTGCCTGCAAAACTTGGAACCGCACGTCGCACGCAGTCCGAAAACGTTGACACCGTATATTGTATACGTCGTTGACACACTATCAATCTTTGAAGATGAGTAATTCACACGATTCGTTGAGGCTAGTGACAGGAAGAGACAGATTGTCGGGCTCTTCGGATCATCATCATTTATTTATCGGGTTTTGTGACTTTAAGATCACTTTATAACGAAGTACTGTTAAGTCATACATGTGAGTCGTAGCTCGTGCTAGGATGATATATGATAAACTAGGGCACAAATTATATAGAAATACATTGTTCTGTTACAAGATGACTGTCATGATGATGCACTTAATCCTCTTTAAAACCACAATTAGATCACACGATTAGTTGAAATTCATGATTTGAAAATATATTTCATGGCGCTTTTAAGTATAAGAAGGGGAATGTCTCAAACGACTTCTTGAATAATTGCCATATAATAAACTGGTGTAAAAAGAGGAAGCATAATTTTAGCATTTTATTCTAGCTCATAATTGTTCATTTTTAAATCTAGCTCATGAATGTAGATTTTAACTTTGCAAAGTAAATATCAGTTTATCAATCCCACAAGTTCTATTGCAAAAGTAGCTTCACATTTAGCGCAAAAAAATGTTTTAGATTCCAAATAAACAACTTCACTCAACATCTTTTTAAGGCGGAATGGCAAATGCAGCTCTTCTCCGCCGCAATCGGAAGCCTAAGCCCACAAATTCATCCTCCAGTCAACCAATCGTCACGCAACTTGTTGCTGCTATTCGCTGTAACGATTTTTCTGTCTTTTCGTCTCTTCTTGAGACTCCGGATCTGGACGTAAATCGCCGTACACCTCAGGGTGATCTTCCATTGGTCGAAAGCTGTCGCTTTGCACGTCTAGAAATGGCAACGCTACTTCTTTCTTCGCATAAAGCCAACGTTAATGCTGCATCTAGCAATTGTCTCGCCAACCGTGTAGGATTGACGCCGTTAATCGCTGCGTGTATGGCCTTAGAGCCGAAAATTGTGGCCCTGTTGCTCAGTCAATCCCAGAAAAAAGTAAATTTACTTCAGACGTTCGGCCGTATTAATGCAGCTACAGTCCTCCTACTCTTTTGCGTTGCAAATGGCCGTACAGACGAACAGAACGATTTGGCGTTGCAGATATTGGATCAATTACTGACTTATGCGAAGCAGCAAAATCAATTAAAAGCATTATTGACAGCCAAGCCAGATCAAGTGAACTCTTTAGTACATGTGGCAGCAGGGGCTGGTAACTGGAAGGCGCTTAGGATGTTGAGAGAATATGCAGATGACTGTCACGTTGACTTTACAATTCGAAATGCTGCGGAGCACTCGTCGCTGCGTGTAGTCGAAATGAACGCATTTCAGGCAAGATCTTTGCAATTTTGTGAGCCGCCACGGTCGAGAAACGATTCGAAAAAAGGAAGGCAACGAACGAGAAAGAAAAAGGAAGACAAGCAAGAGAATGAGAGACAAGAGAATAAAGACGAAGGTGAAAAAGAGCCGCTAAGTGAGGCTGGTGAGTTCTGGCGCCTTGATTTTGTCAAAAATCTAAAAAAATTTGAGCAAATGTACTGATGACAGACAAGCAAACTTTCACAAGGACGCGTCCAGATCGAAATGTGGAAGCGTTTCATGTGACGCGAACGGTTTTGGAGTTGGTTAAAGATTTAGGTGTGTGGGGATGAGTGAGTAATGTTCAATATGTTTATCATGCGTGACTGACGTTAAAATATTAGGACCTGCTGCTATTTTCTCGCGTAAAAGTGACGTCGGACTTCGAGGACTTTACATAAAGACTCTTGTGCTTGCAGAAGTCGGTCTTGTCCGGATTGTCAATGAGGTACTGGTATTGCATGCATGACTTTGAAGTCACCTGTTGTTTTTCTGTAGTCAAACGGGTGAAAGGTCTGACTACTGAACTTGATAGCTTGCTCGGATGCCAGACACAATGCCAATGAAAAGTGTGTATGTCGATGGATTGATGTGTACTATTGCATCTGTCTACCCTCTTGCGTTGAAAAATGCTAAAGAGTATCAGTCACCATGGCATCAAGCTCTCCGAACTACGGGCCAAGGGGATGAAGAAGGGACTTCAAGAGCGAAAGACGAGCTTTCACTCGAGGCATTTCAGCTAATTATGAGCAGAATGCTGTCCTACAACAGTCTTGCAAAACGTGTGAAGGTCTGGACGTTGGTCCTTATGCATTTGCTCCGACCATATGATAGCAAAACTCCTCTGGCTGCTGACATGAAACCTGTTATGGAGGAATGCAGTCAATTGACCTTTTATGAGCGCATCGCTGAGATGCTTTTTCGTTCAGGTTCGATACTGTTGTGATGTCTTGCGATGATCAGGTTGTTAGCTCACCTTTTATAATGCTCGCTTTAGGTACAAAGCTGGCCTTCAGCATCTTTGACCGTACAGACATTGAAGATGATGAGAGCTACGATGAAGAGATTGAATTCCACCTGCTGATTTCGTTCATTGAACTCTTCTTTAAGTTCTTTACGCCGTATGCGAGAACGATTTGTGCTGCGGACAGTCCGGAGTCTTTACGTATTAGCTCAAGTTTTCAACGGGCAATTCGACCGATCAAGCAGCTATGGTCATTACTGGATGCGGCACTTAAATGTCTGGATGATGTTATCGCAACGCCGCAGCGCTTTTCTCTCTTGCTTCACTTGCTTCAAGTATTTGAACAACTGGAAGCTGCTTTTGATTTAGACGAAGAAGCGACTTTGAAAAAGCTGTATGAGGTATGCTGGTCAAGTCGTCATGCCCTAACTCATGCTCTAACAAAATTTTTTAATCTCATAACTAGCTCATGAGTCGATTTGTCAAGCAAGAAGCAAAGAAAAAACGTCTTAAAACGCCTGTTATTGAGCAATCGCATCTTCTACACACCATCGCGGCAGCATTTCCGATCCCTTCGTCCTTAATTGACAAAGTGATATCTTTAAAGGCTAGTGTGGATGTTTTGATTCGTTCGGATCCCAAGATCTTGGGTATGGACTTGTATTCCTTTGCATCTATTCCAGGAATCGTTCGGTTAGAGCATAAAGTGGATTACCTGTCCATGCTGGCTGAAGAGCGCAGTGGAATATTGTCGATCTCAATCAGTCGAACGTCGGAGGCAAACTACGTGGATTTTATCCTGCAGCAAATACTCAGTACCTCAGGAAAACAATTGAAAGGGGAACTCAATATCACGCTGGTTAATGAACCAGGTGTTGGTGTCGGGATTACACGCGAGTTCTTCCAGATTGTGCAACGATGTTTCTTTCAGGCAGGAGCAACTGAACGCTCTCACGTGCACACAGTTCCACCAGCACCTCACGTTTTAAAGATCGGGGCCCAGTGGTTGCAACTTGCCCGCACTCAAAGTTTGCAAAATGAAAATTCGGACAAAACACTCCGCATAGAAGGAGAGCAATCGACCCAAAGCTTTACTGAATTGTTCCCGTTTTTTGACTATGTAGATGAGCAGGAAGGTGGGGTAATTGCAATTGCACCGCGGCCGATTTACATCAGCAAACAGATTTATGACGCGAAACGCAGTATCAAGAGCTTGAATTTATCTCAAGCAGAATTGCTTGTAAATCCAGCAGAAGTTAATGCACTTAAAAAAATCTACGTGTGTCTTGGTCGCTTGATGGGGTTGGCAATTCGCAATCATCAGCCTCTCGGTGTAAATTTTCCGATCGTTTTTTGGAAATTTATGATGCGAGATGGGTCGTTAGCATGGGAAGATTATTGTGAAAATAGTAGTGTGTTTAAAAACAGTCTTCAATCTGTATTGGATCATGACTTTGACGTGGAGCCAATGGATATGCGTTTCGAGTACACAGTAAAGGTGACTGTTGTCGACGAAAACGCAAAGATGAAAAAGGAGGAAGCGACGACTCATGAAGCTGGAAGTGTGACATTAACGACGAATATGGAAATGGAATTACAAGTAGGAGTGGGTGAAGTGCAAGTGACAAATGCGAACAAGGCAGAGTATGTTTTGTTGCGTGCTCAGCAATTTTTCTTCGGCAATGAAGTGGTATATTACAAAAAGATGCGAGATGGCTTTACCGATATAATTGCACGTTCCGATCTAAAACTTTTTCGTCCGGAAGAACTTCAACGACTTGTGTGCGGAGAGCTTACGATTGACTTTAAAGATCTTAAGAAGAGTGTCGTGTATTCCCGAGGTGTTAAACCATCGCGCGGTGTAGTTCAGCGTTTTTGGAAAGTTGTTGAGACTTTTGATCAAGTACAGCGCGCTAAACTTTTAACATTTTGGTCTGGATCTTCGAGACCTCCCATATTTGGTTTTGACTCAAAGTATCGCTCCATGAACGCGGTAAGACAGATAAGAAGATAAGAAGTGTATTGGTTCTCTTTGCTGATGTGTCCTTTGGCTCAGGACACGGCGTGCTGGTACATTGATGTGGACACCGGAATGGATCGAAACTTTTGTCCAATGGCTAACACTTGGTAAGTCAATGATTACATTGCTTTAAGTTAGCCCTGTGACTTACCCTTTCATTGTAGCGACCGTCGTTTAATCCTTCCAGACTATCCAACGACCGCGATTTTAAGGGAGAAGCTGTTGGTGGCGCTTGAACACGGCAGCATTGGTTACGATCGCATGTAAAAAACGTCAAGAAGATTGGAATTTAAGGAATTCGGTTATAAAATTGTTCACTTTAAAGCAATTGTGTGTGGTCTGGACTTGATACCTGTCCAGGTTCACGAAAACTAGAAGTAGTGGACATCACATTTGTAGGTACTGAAGCGTACCCTCGCTGACCTCGTGATTGCTCCTCCACATTGCCAAAGAGAGAGCGAATAAAGTCATAGACTATTGTCAATGGACAGCATAGAATGTATTTGGCTTGTTGCAGCCACTCGTGACGGAGCCAAGTCATATAATTGCTTGTTGTTCTTGCCGTCTGTAGTGTCCCTTTTGGGGTTCCAAAGAGCTGTACGACTGATCCTGGCCAAACGTCTCCCATCTTAAGTACTTTGCCTTGATGGATGAGACGTGCATGTTCTCTAAACCAAAACACAGTGTCAGTTTAGTGCCTTTAAACCACAATACGTCCACGTACAAGTTGAATAGTGAGGCTAAAGTCATTGCTGGATCGTTGACAGCCCAAATCGATACGTTCAGCGTGTAGACAGCGTTACAAAAGCGAATATTTGCTGGTTTTGGGGTCTCATGTCCTTGTGATTGCAATTGTGTAACTCGTTTCACGAGAGCATGGCAACCAGGACAATGATTTTTGCTAGTAGCTAGAACACGACACAAGCAAGAGAGACAAAACTCATGCGAGCAGTCGGTAAGACATCGAGCCGTCGGATCAGCAGGTAAAGGCTCGTCGCACACAAGACACGGAAGTGCGTCTGCCATTATACTATGGAGTTGTTGTACCGGTAGATACCGACAGAATGAGCTTGAAGCGACACTTTCGAAGTGTAAGAATTCGTTAAGATGCCAGCACCACTTGAAGGTTCAAATGGAATCCAATTAAACCCAAAGACAAAACCTACGACGACCAAGATGAAGCTCGTGATTAGCCAAGTGCTGACCGAGAAATTAGATAATGTCACGTACCAGTCAGATCGAGCTGCTGTGTTGACTAAGGAGATTGCAGATACTGTCAAGTTACGATTAAAAGGTTCGTGGATTCAATGATTTAAACGCGGCAAGTGTTTGCAGAATGTATATACTTGATGGACAGAATGTAATTTTCCTCGGTTCAAGTATGTCGTGCAAGTGGTGATTGGGGAACAACGAGGCGAGGGCGTGCGGTGCGTGAAGTTCACTAGAGAGATAGAAAGATGATGTGTTTTAAAAAGTTTGATCTCTTGACAATTTGCAGCATGGGATGTCGATGTTTTTGGGATGCTGAGACGGACTGCTACGCGTCCGAGACCTTTTCAAACGTAAGATAATGACTGAAATGCTTATTTTGGGTTACTGAATATTGTGTATGCTTCAGGACAGTTTGTTCTGCGTCACTACTGCATATAGTGTCTATCTCTATTAGTAGCTTATATAACTACAATAAAGGACATTTTTGCTAATTCCAAATGAGTGAATTTAGACGAGCGATAGCGAACGTTGAGACGCTTGAATCACGTCTTTTAGAGCTTCAGAATGCGCTTGCCGCCGACAATATAAATCGCGTTTTTCAAGATACCTTCAGCTTTGTTTTGGTGCGTCTGCTGCTCCATTATTACATCAATATCAACGATACATCCCTTTTCTTTGCATTGACCTCTTCTATAGCTCGCAATAAACGGAGAAATGAACGCTACAATGGACAAGTTTCGTGCACGTTGCTCAATGATTGATCCTGTCACAAAGAATCCACGATTTGGCCCCAAGATGATGGCCAAAGTGAAGGATATGTTGCGTCGTTACGACAACGTAAAGCTTGCAATCCAAGAAGACACGCCGTTACGTCTACAAATAGAGACAAAGCTTAACGATCTGAAACAGCATGAAGAAGAAGCAAAAGAGGCGGAAGCGATTCGTAAAAAAGAGGCAGAGGAAGATCAACGAGCTGCAGAACGAGCTGCAGAACAGGACGGGAAAAGACTGGAAGAGGAAGCTCAGGAACGCGAAATTTTACGCAGAAGGCAAGAGGAATTAAGGATACAAAGATTAGCGGTTGCTGCACAGAAGAAACGGGAGCAACGAGAGAGAGAACGATTGGAAGAGGAACAACAACGTCAGGAGGAGCAAAAGAAGCGTGAGCTCTTGAATGCTTCGATTTCACCTGGAAAAAAGGGTTTAGAACTGGCAATTGATTTACTTCGGGAAAGCACGGGCAGTGAGGTATAAGATGTGTGTTTAACTAAAAGAAATTGGAGCTGATCATTACTTGTTTGTTGTTGATAGGCACTTTTTCGACAATCGGTCGAGAAACTTCTAGCTGTAGTCAATAATATCTGCAAGTCACCGGATAATACTGCATTTCGCCAAATTCCAAAGGATAATATGCACTTTCATGCTGATCTCGGGCAATTTACAGGTGGCTATCAATGTTTACTTGCACTCGGGTTTAAAGAGATGCAACAAGGAGATGAAAATGAGCCCAGATTCGTGTTTGTAATGGAGGTAAAGGAACATTTTCACATTGAAATACCTTCACTTGTTACTCACTTGACAACGTATCTTTGTTTTTATTTCTATCTCTACAGGAACCAGATCTATCAGAAGATTTAGATGCTTGGAGTACTTGGTTTGATGGCTTAAAGGAGATGCAAAATTTTGTTGAGTCAAAGTTGTGAAAACTCGTGTGGTTTAGATATTCCCGGTTGAAAAGGAAGAATCTCTTTCGTTCCCAACCAGATTTTGGTAGTACGCATCCTGATCCACGGCCGGTGATGGATGGGATACTCTGACATGCGTTATACACTGGAGCTTATATCATGCGAGCGGATGTGCTTGATTGTGGGATATGTTATTATGACTGATTTTGCAAATGAGACTTCATTGGAGCATTAAGAGCGCACCTTTCGTCAACAATTTGTGTTATTATCTTCATGTTACCAAAGAATATGGTGAAGCATCTGCGAAAAAATTCAGATCCTTCAAAGCTATTTAAAGTTAGCACAAAAGCGCTCCATCTGGGTATCACCTGAGTTTAAACAAGAGCTTAGCAAGATAAGCTTAAGATTTTCATAAAGTCACATTTTACTTGTGCGCAAATCTTGATTGGAGAGATGTGTTGACAATGCGAGCACGCTATGTAGCGGAAGTGATAAGGCTGATAATATGCAGATGGAAACTTAATAATTTGGTCTTCAAGCTAGAAAATCTCCAGAATGACGTTAAGTATGACTTCAAAGACCGCAATGAACAGACGAAATGAATTAAATCGTCTATATTTCGTTTCTACATAAAGTTTTAGCATTGAATTCAAGAAAAAGAACTTTTGCAGAAATCCATACATCAATCCGTCGCTTCAAGCTCGTTTTCATTAACGAAAATCATCAAGTTAGCACTTCCAGATGGACTGACACTTGGTGTGCAATCGTCACAATCGACCTCGGGTTCATTGTGGACGGCACGTTTTTCCTCCACTTCATCGTTACTGAGTTCGCAAAGTGTCGCCAAGTCTTCGGGAAAATTCGAAGATACTTTCGTAAAAAGTTGTGAACTAGAGACGTCATACTGCTCCGGAAGATTCGATCGACTCTTTTCTTCACAAGAAGCAGTCGAAAGAAGATTCAAAGCCTCACCAAGAAGTTCTTGATTGCCGTGATCGTCAAAAGGGACTTTCTTAGACGCAATGTCACGAATTTCAAGGCAAGATTTACGTAAAGGGCGACAAAATTTCGACGAAGGTGAAGCCAATAAAGATTGCACTGTGTCGTGGCACAGATCATGGACAGTTAAACTTGCCAGCTCCACACGCTTTTTCGCTGTACAAGTGGTTTGGATAAAGTCGTAAATGTCACTTTGTACATCGACATTTTCTAATGTCGGCGCAACAGCCTGCCAGTCATACTGTCACCATAACACATGGTCAATATCAAAATAAAAATTGATTAATTAATTAATTACCTGTTCATTTGCAAGAGCAGATGACGCAAACACAACATGTTTGCGTAAATTTGTCGCAATTGTGACAATGCGATCTTCGGCGAGTTCCTTCATACCAATATTACAATAGTGAACAATATTACATTAAATACAAAACAATATACCTGATAGTCTGCTAGCATTAATTGAAAAGCACGGCACATTCGAATTCGATGTATTTCCACATCTCGCCACGTTTGTTGGCACTTCCTTCTAGCACTTTCAGCTGCCTGCAACTCAAACATCAATGTATAAGTTTGAGTTCTTATCGAAGCTTTCATGCTATAACCCACTGTCATTAATTTGACCGTCGTATTCGCCAAATCTTCTTTTCGATGCATCTCCGAAGATGGAAGTAACCAATTCACAATTTTGTGATTATTAATTGACCTCAATGCAGCAGCTCCAGACGCTCGTTGTGTTCGAGTAGCGATTACACTCGCGAAATTTGTCTTAACAGGACTATCAACCTCCTGTATGTGCGATAATGAGTGATGATACCGAGTCTCCAGTAACGTACTAGAAAATCCAGAGTCCATTGCAGCTGCAAACGAAGCAGAAGCCTCTTTAAACGTCTTGTCAAACGCGCTGTAGTCTTTTCGATATGCATCTTCTTGAATCTACAACAATTTTAGTCAATAACTAACACAAATGTTAATCTCCATACATAACCTCCACCTTAACATCTTTCTTTGCGTGATTCATTCGGCGTGTTAAACTTTGTGCTCGTCGACTATTACTTTCATACAGCTTTTCAATCGGATTCAAGACTTCTTCCTCGAGATTTGTCGCTAATTGTCGGTGTTGGACACTCGTATTCAGATACTGCGCTCGAAGACTTGCCATTGCGTGCTGCATTGTACCGCTCTCTCGTTCATCAAAGTGAGCAAACCTCGTCATCTTGCTAAGTTCTTGTGCATACGTCCTTTCCAAGTGAATTCGACTCTTAAGCATTGTCACTAAGTTGCCGTGAGCAATGAGTCCAGATGCACAGGCTGCACGGACATCATTTAGATTGAAGAGTAAATCAGTAGCAAATGCATGATTGTCACGAAGCTGGAAAGACGAAGCAGACTTTGCAAAGCCATTTACAGAAGTATCAAGTGCCATAACTAGAAGTCAAGGGTGAGAAAGAGACTAATGTTTTGGACAGTCGTTTATAACATTTGAAGTCCTTTTTTCATGAGCTCTTGAAATAGACTTCGTTGGGATAAAAAGCTTGAGCGCTTTACTTTCAAGAGTCTCTGTATTTTAGCAGACAGCTTTTTTGTGTTTGAATCATAGCTAGTTTTCAATGCAAACCGTCGATTCTGTGATGCCTTTGACCAAGCCATTGCGACGAATTGATCCGCTGAAACCTCTTGTAACACGCGAGACTGAGTCTTCTCGTCATCAAGATGAAACGACTTCATTGACGAATAATCACCAGCGTATGAACATCGTCATAGGCAGTAAAAGTTCCGGAAAAGCTGCATGTTTCCTCAAGTCTGGAGCTGCATCCCAAAAGTATGTTGTTAAAAGTCATGGAGTAAGGAAAAGATTAAATTCAATTGATACGTCTCAGCGATCGTCATCAATCGTATCAAGGAAGAAACTGGCGATACAAATACCGACAGACTTTCACACTATTGATGATCAACATAAAGATAGTGGAATAAGTAATGAGGATCGTGAAAGTGATAGTGACAATGACGTTGACGTGCAAGGAGCGAGTGATTATCGTCATCGAACGCAGTTTTTCAAGTCGTTAGTTGGTCCAACAACGTATGAAGATGGCAAAGTAGTGTATCAAGGTCATGTTGATCATCGTGGAATGACACCACATGTGACTTTTGCAACAATTCAGACGCCTCCAAGTGTGATTAAAAGTGCTTGTAGTCAACCAGTGACGTGTAGCTTTTGTAGTTCTACGAATCTTACGTGGATACTACGTTGTGCTTTCTGTGGTTCTGCACGTATGAGTGATGCACCACGATTGAAATATTTACTTGATATGATCTTGAGTATTGATCCGATGATCAAACCCGATAAGGTTTGAGATGCTTACTAAACTTTATGTGATGAATTGCTAATTTGTGGCTTTATAGCTCGCAAAACGAATCCTTGACTATGCTAAATTTGATCGCGTTGCACTAAAAGCCGAAGCAGCTCTAAAACAAGCAGGTCTTATGCGTGCAAAAGCTGCTATTATGATGATGAACCGTACAGTTTTGACTTTACGATTTCAAATTATGCGAATGGTCTTCGTTGCGTGGAAGAAAGCGAAGGCTGTGAGTATTCGGGAGCATGCAATAATTGGACACGTTTTAGCGATTAAAGAAGCGCAAACGAGACGAAAGTGTCGACAAATTGTGTTTTCGTCATGGAAAGGTCATGTTGCTCGAGTGGTAGATGAGCGAGTACAGCGATTTCAAGTTGCTCTTAAGCGGTATATTACTAGCCTGTGATATTTTCTTAATTTTGTTTACTTACTTATTTTACAGAAATGAAGGTACAAAAGTGAGACAAATTTTGAGCAATTGGAGATCACATTTGTACATTCGAGGGAAAGAAAAGATCGAGGAAGTACGATGTTACTTTGAAAAAGAGCTGTACGTGACATAAATAAATGGGTAAGATTTTTATTCTTATAATTTTGATTCATATGATTCAGTCGCGACACGCCTTTGGAAGCTCAGAAAGAAATTTATCGTCTTAAAGACGTTCAGCAAGAGATAATCAAATTGATTTTTACCACTGGGGATTTACTCATGGAATTTATGCACAATTCTCTGGAGAAAGCTGATCATTGCGTGCTAAGTGCGTTCATATAGATTCAATAATCTGTTAAATTCTCATTTCTTTGCTTGTAACTTTAGAAACGCTTCAGCTTGTGCAAATGTACCCCACAACTGCAGGTGAATTTTTTCAGTCTGCACATGGCAATGAACTTCTTAATACGTTGAGTAGTGGACATGCAATGCCTCAGATCGATGAGTTTGGACTCAATGATGTCAAAGATTATGAAATGATAAGGCAACTTTTAGCTCAAACAATCGAAAAGGTTGAAAAGTTTGCACCATCGGATAGTTTAATTTACTGGCTTAATTTCCAACGTCGACGTGGGGCTGAAATGGGTACAACTATTGACTCGACATCGTATCAAGAGGATGACGTTTTTGTTCAAAGACGGTCGAGGGCTAGTTCCATGATCAAACCATTAAGAATCCGCACGAAAGATAAAAAGAAAGAGATTAAGCCTATTAAAGCTTTACAAGATTTAAAAACAGTGCTTTCCAATCCCGGCGTGATGCTCAAGCTATTATGCCACACATCATTCGACGCTCAGCAAGAATACGATCGATTCCAAAGCTCAGAAACAGCTACTTATGTTGCAGTTGAAACATCATCAATAGCAACGACATTGTCTCCTTCCGCTCAAGCCCAGCTTCGAGCATATTTTAAAATCATTCCTCGAGTATTGAACCTTCCTCCTGACATCATCACTCGTGACAGCTTTGTACTAAACGACTTTGACTCCCTTTATGCGTACGCCGTCTATCTTTTTCTCTTCCATCCAAACTACGTCGCTCCAGGAATGACGCTAACATCGAGATATCAGATTAAACATTTCTCATTGACTACTCAATGGCAAAAAGTCAAAACTTCATTACAGGATAACGAGTGTGATACTTTCTCACAACAGCAATTCCATATCTTTCTGAGTAAACTCAAACGCACTCACAAACAATATTTTCAATTCATTAACATCTGCAATGCCGTGGGCGAAATTGCAAGTTGCCACGAGCGATTCGTTGCACAAGAAGCATTTAATGAATTTTCAAGACGAGTGCTGTGTAAAGATTCGAAAATATCGGTATCACTGGAGAAAGAAACGCTTGCTTCGTGTATCTCGTTACCAACTGCCAAACTCTTGTCACTTTGCGAAGACATGGAAGAACTACGACGAATTGAGCAGGTGTATAAGGCAAATGTACTTGATTTAATCAAAATATTTCGACTTTACGGAACTGCAGCTGGTGGAAAAGGAATTCTTGAGCAAGAATTTCTCAAAGTTATGACAAAAGCAGGTGTCACCAATAAAAAAAACATCTTGAGGTCGACATTGCAGATCATTTACCAGCAATCACGCAATGGCAATAGTTCCGAGTATTTAAATTCAGGAGCTTTTAGCTTGGCAGAAGGTGACGACGAGAGTGAAGACCGTGGTGCAAGTCCGAACGAATTTTTCGAAGCGCTGACCCGTGTAGCGTATCACAATTACCAAAAACGTCGAGAATTTATTGGACAACTTGATCTTATGGGGGACGAGGTATGTGTAGATGACCAAGCTGGGAATTGTACCCTCCTTTCATGTGTGTTAGATTTGGTGGTGGAAAAAGTCATACCTTTGACGAGAAAATCTCAAGAGCAAGGATTGACATTTAAGAAACAGATGATTTATCCTGACGTACAACATGTCTGTAAAGCCCAAGAGAAGAAACTCAAGCGGGTTTTCAGTGCGTATTCTCAGAGAAACAAGAATCCTCAATCACGTGGCAAAATCTTAGACTTGAGCGATTTTGAACTTTTGTTGAAAGACAAAAGACTCATTGATGCACTTTTTCCACATGGAAAAATTAAGCAATTGGTTGCTTTTGTCCAACAAGATGGAGACACTGGAAATACCGGATCCATTATTGGTAATGGATACGAAATCGAGAATGAGTTTGTGTATTCAGAATTTGTAGAAGCATTGGCTGCTATTGCCGTCTACCGCAATGCCAATCCGTATTTGCCATTTGCCAAAAAGCTGGAGACATTTTTTGAAGAAACGTTTTAGTCTTAAACGTCGTCTAGATGCTAGCTGAAAGACCAACTTCAACAATTCGACAGTCAATTACAATTTCGGGCCCAAGCACAAGTTCCGGTCGCAGCAATCGTTCTACCTCCCCACCATCTTCGAAACTTCCGGGCCAGAACGAACTGGATTTACGTTTTGTTTGAAGCCATCCCAACTCTTTCCACGCCGCAGCTACTAGACTTGAGCAAAAGTATTTACGTTGCGACTTGGTCGAATCACTTGATGAAGTGACTGGAGAAGATGGTGTTGAGCTATTGATATTCGATGAAATACTGTCATCACCAACTTCATACTTGCTGTGAGTGACAAGAGTTGAACGGGCAAGATTGCGATCCGATTTTCCAGTAAACCGAAGGATTTCAGCTAAACTATAACGGTTGCCATTGACACGTCGGACAAAATCCGTCAGTGTGTCCATCAACTCAATCGATCGTTCCGTTTCGATTTTTCGTACTACAATCACATTCGAGACTTCACGAGCATAGGCCATAAGACGCACTTTCAACGAGTACACTTGTATCCCCTCTGAAGTTGCTTCCATGATCCGTAAGAGATTTTGAGACTCACCTGGCACGACAATTCCCACATGATCGTACTTAGCGCCAGTAAACTATAGCAACAGAGTATTAAAGCATGGACACCACAATCTTTCTTAAGCAGAATTTGTCAAATCATACCTTGCGCTGTAGTCGACTAGCTCCAAAACGACAAGAAAAGAGAACAATGTCGCCAATAGCGACACTTTCGTGAAGAGACGTGACATGAAGCACACTTTTGGTATTGCGGCTAGTCTCCGGATCGCGAGCAGTTGACACGATGCCCAAAAATGAAAATAAAACCACATCAGTGCTGACATCAGGGTACTCTAATAATTGTTTTAAAAATTTCTCCAGCTCCTGTTTGCGATATTGGATAAATTCGCCTTTTACCGGTGTAAACATATGCTTTGGCGGTAACATTGGGAGTGTATGATTCGGATATTTGCATTTTAATTCAGTTTGCAACGCATTAAAGTCTTTGTAGCGCCGTGATAATTGCCAAGTTGTGCCGTTGAACACCACGTCGATGACGTAGCACGTGTATGGGCGCTGAGATAGATCACTCACCTTGTTCCTGGTCTCAACAATATTTAACGTTAGTGCTGGCTTCGGGATTCGGTATACCGGTACAAGCTCGAGTTTTATTGTACTTGAATGATCGATTAGATAGTGATCAATATATTGCTGGTCATTCTGAAGCCATTCACCATCCCTCTCCAAGTAAAACATAAAGCTATCGGGTGGACGCTCAAGCATATGCAACAATTCAGATGTCACGCTCTTTTTCTTGCTGTAATTTAATCGTCGAAGCTCTGCTTTCATATGCCGAATCGCATCAAGTTTTAAACGGTAAAGACTTAGTCTTCCTTGAATTGTTTCATTTAAAGATATGATTGTTGATACGCTGCAAATAAGCGATCAAAGCATCTTTACACTTATACAAGATAAAGTGTATCAATCATTTGATCAGCAAACCTGTGGTCATGATCATCCTTTGCTGTAATCACTACAATTGTTGACGTAACAGAGCTCGTTGTACTGTCTGTCTAAGAATACCAATATATTCAGAATATTGTAGCGTTCCTAATTGCTAAGATCACTGACCTGTGCCGCCGTTGCATCAGACCAGGATGTTAAACTTGATTGCCGACTCTCTTCTTCACTGTCTTCAGAGCCACTAGATGCAAATCGAAAGAACGCTGCGTCTTTATAATAAATTCCATAAGTTATTACTCCTTAATTCCAAAAGTAATAAGGATGCCGTTACCATTTTGACTGTCCGTCTGCGAAGCGTGTAACTTGGTAGCAAGTAACAAACAATGTAGCCATTCGTCTCTCTCTTCCACTGAAGCCGTAGCAAACTGAAGCTTCACTTTATAAGTTTCTACTGTGAATGGATACTTACCAATGATACGCTTTGATTGACTGTCGCTGTTGCGACGAGCTGTTGCCCCTTTGTGCACCCTGACGATATCCGTGACTAGACACAAATCCATCCAAACTTTCAACGAATTACGGCGATGGGGCGCACCAGTAGTTGCGTCGGGGTCAACGACTAATGCATGACTGTAAAGAAACAGTTTGATAGCCAACCAGTCGCCATATTGGGCGCTAAATTGCCACAAATCACTACAATGAAGGCACTCGGGGGGCTTCATGTGAGTACGTCGTTTAAAACGTAAGATATACCGGTATTTATCAAAGTATCATTTTTTTAAAAATCAGTCACATGATGCAGGTTTCTCAAAGCGAAAAATGCAGCACGTGTGACAGGTTTATTATTTGTCACAGGTTTAACAAGAAATGACGAAATCGATTGTGTACCAGCTGGAGCATTGGCCTGAACGTGATTTAGATGATCAAATTAATCCTCACATTCCATTGCAGCTCATGGGGACTGCTTACCTTTTCAAACTCTTTCTCATGCGGCCACTCAACCTTGACAGCTTTTTTGATAAACGGTTCAACTGTACCCCAGCTGAAGCGAATGATGTTTGGAAACACAAACACTGGATCTGCGTGAGTCGTGAGCCACGTCTTCGTTCTATCAAAGCAAAAAACGATTATATCAGCATTTTGTCTACTTCAAACAAAGCGACAATGTACTTTGGATCGCTGGGATATCCAGACCCAAAGTCAGTTGGCAAATCAAGCGCTGGACATTCCCACTCCCATTCGCTTATGACGCGATCGCGCGTCACTTTGGCCGCAATACTCGCCGCACTTACAACCTGTGCAACATTTTCCAACATTGTTAATATTGTCAAGCAATAAGTGAATCGAAATGTACCTTAAACAGACTATCAGCTTTCTTTTCGACGCGAAACTCAATTGTCCCATCAAAATGTTTCGTCAAAAAGCTCTGATACCAACGTGGGTCCCCCACTGTGTCTACAAACACCTTTTTCACTACCACACCTTTCTTTTGGACCTCACGAATAAGTTGAATAGCCGCATTTCGTGAGATTTCATTTAAGTTACTGGTCTGACGCTGCATCTTATCCGAAATTTCGGCAGCCGAGATCAAACGAACGATCCACCTGTCAAAACACCAACCAGAACTAAGCTTTATACACATTTTCAGTGTAATGCCATCGCATCCACACACCCGAGGCCCGTCGTTGACCTCATTTTATCGAACAGTTGCGCTCGGCTGTCGGCACTCAAAGCCTTGGAATCATCAAAGCCCAATGCACACATGGCGTCGTTTTCGGCTATAGGCCAGTACGCAGCTCCGTAGACCATTGGACCCATGACTGGACCTCTACCAGCCTCGTCAATGCCTAACATGACAGAGACTCCATTAAGGCAAGTCGCAGGACAGTCGCTCGCAAGCAACAATGTGTGCTGCAGATTCGGACGAGTCGCCATGGTATTTTGGCGGGAAGGAATGAGGTCATTCAACCAATCAGAAGAGCAATTCACATATGTTTTAGTCATTTGGACAAACTCCAACATGAAAGCTAAACTTAAAAAATTTCAACAAAGTCAGGACACAGCACCTTCTAATGCGATAAGGTGGCGTTTTTAGTCTTGGAGTTATAAAGTTGCCTCGCCCGGTGTAAGAATAGCCTTATGAACAATCCTGGGCAGGGTACATGTCAAAACAAGAAAAAAGGGCAAAGGGACTCTAGGAGCTGACCACATTTTTCGGCAAATTCGGAAGTGACACTCGATAGCCGACAGTAGGGATGTTGTAACGGA